ATGCATTTATGCTCCGGATCAATGACCAGTCAAAGTCAAAAAATGACAATATGCCCTTTTCCATTTTTTAAATGCAAAGGTTAACAATCACAGGATGTAATGCTATTGACTTCGACAGTCACATACTGCAGGTCCAAATGGACAAGTGAAAATATGCACATTCAAAAGTAAACTAAATATATGACGACTCAAGATAATTGCTAGTGTGTGTTGTGTGTGTTTTTGCACAAGTATTGCTGTTAAAGCATTGGTTATTATGTACTGGAGTGGTGAATGGCACAATTGGCCAGAAAATATCAACCAACATCAGCAGTTGGTCACACCTGAGGTGAGTGTATCAGTATTTAGGTGGACATCACAGCTGTATTACTATACATGTATCCACAGTGCTCATGTTAGTAGTGGAACCCTTATTAACAACACCTCAACAGTGGGCTTTAGAAAAAAGATCCCTGCCCAGATACCAACGATTTCGCTAGATTATTGATCTAAGAGGAAGGTGAAGGATGATACAAAACCATTTCTAATGTAAATATTTTCCTGCTTTATTATGACAAATGACATGGAATTGTATTACTAAATGCATTAATTGAACTTTCACTGTGACAGTGTAGCTTTCTGCCCAATAGATTGAGTTTTTAGGCCCGAGACACATCCAGGTCTCAGTAATGAAGAGAGAGGAGCTGCTATGAAATATGATGATGATGATGATGATGTGCTGTAGGCTGAGGAACCAGAGAGATGGGAAATGGAGCAAGGAGTGCTGGAAGGACAGAAAGAGAGAGGTTTATTCTTTTCATTGAATTTTTGTAATGGAGTTAGTGACGTACAAAAGCTGATTTCTTTAAAAATAAAGCACTTTTCACAAAGCCCTGACTTCACCGAGACAGATGAGGCCTAGAGGGGTTTTTCATCATTTAAACAAACGATCAATCAAGCGTGTATCGGCTCTGAAAGCAGGGGATTGATAACTGAATATGAATGTATGTTTTGTTTCTATGCCCCTTGACCATTTCATACGCTGAGAAGTCTGTGGGCCACTAGGGGACATCTGAATGTGCAGAACAGAGGACTGATGGGGGGGGCTGATTGGATGTGTAGACCCAGACAGAGTAGACCAAGGAGTAGCAGGACCAGTGGACTGACAGTGAATGATCAACAATGCACATTACCTTCAATCCCCACCAACGCCTGGGATACACTCAACATAGCACATGAACCTGATTGAAGGCGTCCTATGCGTATAGTGTGTTCTATAGGTTTCTGTGCATGTCAATGGTCTGCAAAGGCTAACATCCCTGTGTTCCCTCCAGAGGGATTTCCTCTCCCACACTTACATTAATCTTTCAATATACCTCAAGGTTAACATTTTCAGAAATCAAAGAGTAAAATAAGATGATGTTTTTATACAACATGACAGCTTCATAGCTGCAGACTGACAATGTCATTGAAAATAATGAAGGGTTCATAGGGAGGTATACATCAGTAGACCTTACTTAGAGAATATCAATTATACAACATTAATGACAAACAATTAAGTATCCTTTTGCAAACAGCCACAGTTAAGTGATCTGGCTAGGAGATGACTGATTAGTATGCTGTGTTTAATCTCAAATGGGATTTGAATGCTTAGCAGAAATGGGGTATTAAAAACAAGTGTGTCTTGCCGCCAAACAGGCAGGCAGCCAGTGTCCAGAGCAGGCCCGGGGAACAAAGGAGGCAACATTTCACTCAGGGCAGCAGCACTCTCATCTTTCACATGGCGATGCAAATCTCCAGCAGCCGAGATTTGACACAGCCACTAAGAACTAGATGGGGGCTAATATTTCACTTGTCCAATTTCCTGTTACCAGGCAAGGGGCACCACCCCACTGATTTCACTATTTCCTTTTCCTGAATACGTTCAAATGGTGCTCGCAAGTGTGCGGTGTTAAATACAAGTCAAGTTAACAAACACATCTAAGTCACAATAATTAAGATAAAGATGGATGCTGCCTTGCAGTCTATTAAAAGCACGAGGTAAGAGCCCCGAGGGGTGAGGGTCCCATCTATTATTTAGGGGCTGCTGCTGACACCAACACAAGGGCAGAAGAGCTGCTCTCAGCAGTCTGGGATGAAATCCATTACAAGGAGGCTGAACATTGGATATTAACAGGGAAAGGATTCGAACATCCCCGTTAAGACACTAATATGAGGTCCATCCTTTGGAATAGAAAATGTTTATGGCAATTTCTCCTTACATGGAACATAAAAGACTGCCATTAAAAAGCATATGACTCTCTAATGAGTACCAGAGTGTCCCATCAAGGGTAAGACAATGATTTTCTTTCTAGGTCACTATTATAATGACAGTAAATCACACAAAGAGAGAAAAGCCGGGTACTGGCTGTACATGTCCCACAATGACGGAGCTACAGCCCGGTGCTGTGCGCCGTGTACGTACCGCTCGATGAGAGAGGGCCGGCTGAAGACAAAGCAGCAGGGGATGATCTGCGGGAGGACCGCGGCGCAGAAGCCCTGCGCTGCTCCGAACAAAGCGGGCTTCCCGGCAGCTTCAGCATCCTCGCACATTACTTTCCAAGTTCATCAGCATCGTTTTCACACACACAACCGTGATTCAAACTCGCTGCTGAAATCCAACGATTTGACACAAAGCTTCAGATGTGTCTAAAGGGCGATGAAGGCACGCACCGGCTATCACTCTGTCACCGGAGGACCTGAAACTGTGAATGGCTGCGTGCTGACTGAATCAGAGTGGTGCTGCGTTCAGGGGCTGCTTGTAAACTCCCACTTCTGAGTCCTTCATTTGCTAGTAACGCATTTCATTGACGTTGATCCGGAACAGGTCCTAATCTAATCAATAGCGAGGTGGCTGCCATATCCCACAAGACCCCCAATTGAACATCTTATAAAATAATGTTTTGGAAGATGTGCATTATGTTGGAACCAACATCTTACAAAACACCCCTCATAACCAGGCTATTAGTATTCTCAACAAAATCATGTTAAACAAACCATGTCAAGTCATAACTGGATTTGATTTGGTAAGGGACACCATATATTCCCCTGTTAACTTGCCACAACCCGCTGCTTAAAATGTGAAAGAACCCTTGAGTAGACAATTTCTCCCTCATGTTTACTACTCATCATGTAATTAAGCTTAAAGTGGACCTATCATGCTATATTTGAATAATATATTGTAGGGCCATACCTATATAAAACATGTCTGTGACATTTCAAAATACCAAACAGATCATGCATTTTAGCCATGCCTCATTTCACTCTATTTGCTCTTTTCCAGCCCTGTTTTTGCAAGGGCTGATTCTGTGAGAAGTCTTCTTCACTGCTTTTGTGGCAGACTACAGCGCCACGTACAGGCCTGGCATATGTACTACAGCATCTCCAGCTCTTTCGAGCGGCAATGGCCGTGGCCCAACCCCCCATTCCCCTGATAGGTGGAGAGTTGCCCATATAGGCGGAGCACCCCTTTTCTGACATCAGAACAATTCAAATCTGTATCAGATCCGTTGCAGCCCCTTTTTTAGAGATTTGGGTATGGAGGAAAAGAGAGAGGGTTGTGTTTTCTGACACTTGGTGAGTTCCCTGACACACTGGGGACACATATTCATGTATAAAAGATGTACAAAAGTGCATTTTGCATGATAGGTCCTCTTTAAATTCAATAAAGAAGAAGTCCATAAATAAAAGAACATGCCATCATTGCCTGATAAAAAAAACTACATTCTGTAATTATTTTTAGTACACTACACATATTTAAAAATCTCTAGTCTAAACAGATAACATAACCTACTTGTTAACTCAGGTTAACTTCTTTTATCACCATCTTTATCACCATTAATAACATTCAAATCACGTCATTACATACTCATTTTAATTTGCACTGTCGCCAACAGAGAGCCCACAGCTTGATGGTAGAGCAATGGTTAACATTCATTGAAATAACAGCCTGTCCTCCTCCAAAAAACGACCAAATAGGTCGATTGTTCAGCAGCTTATTACGACCTATAGTCACGTTTTAAAGTTTAGCACCTCTAGTGGTCGTGTAAGAAACAATAATTTGAGGCATATTGGCTGATGCTCCCGTTGATTGCAAACGCTCTGGTGGGTCGTATATTCACAAATAACCCTCTGGAAAATCCTAAATTGGATAGTTTGGCCATTCAAATGCATTTTGATTACATTTCTAGCGAGAAGTGTATATTGTACTTTTAGAATCCACGTCCAGTGGATGTGTAGGATCTATAGTTTGATAGATATTACGAAGATGATTTGAGGTCTCGCCAGGAGAACGTGTATACTACGTCTTTCCCCCTATTCATTTCTATTGACGGCAGCGTTCATGTAAAGTTGCCGTCAACCCTCACGGGGTGAAAACAGTATTTCCGGACTCTAAGTTTTCATCATAAAACCGGAAGTATTCCCCTCACTGTCAAATGATTTTACAGTGATATCTGCAGTCAGGGTTCCTGTAGGTTTCACCTACAACTCAAATGTAAGACTTTTTAAGACCACTTTGAATAGAACTTAAGACCCATTTCACGGCAAGAAAGTATGAAGGAAAATTGCTTTGAAAGAAGAAATACGTCCCATAATTACTTACAAAGTAAATGTATCCATGTTCAACATAAGAACGATGACTGAAAATAACAGTACACAGAACTGTGTTAGCGTGTAAGACAAAAAGTGTGTATGTGTGTGTGTGTCTCTCTGTGTGTGTGTGTGTGTGTGTGTGTGTGTGTGTGTGTGTGTGTGTGTGTGTGTGTGTGTGTGTGTGTGTGTGACAAGAACTATATTTAGAGATCTGCTGCCTTCAGGCTGTTGTATGGTGTTTAGCTACGGTATTTAACGTCCATAGCACCTCCGCTTTTAGGGTTGACGTAGACCCAAACATCACCCGGAGGTCCCCCAATGTTGTTGCTGCTGCAAAACAAACGTTAATTTTGGCCGCGTCTCAATTCAGGGATAGTATCCTTCGAAGGGTGTATTCGTAGACCGCATACGTCACTTCCGCCGAAAGAAGGCTGTCCCAATAAAAAAATAAAAAGACTCCTCCGAATGCGGCCCACGAATGCGGCCTTCTTTTTACGGATTTGAAGGATACATCTGATGTATCCTCCGCGGTCTACCATATCCCAGGATGCAATGCGCGGTGGGGACGAGTGAGTTTTGTTCAAAGGAAATGGCTTCCGGTCTCCCCAGCAGAGTGGATTTAAAAACAGCAGCAAGCGGAGGAATCACTAATAAATGTGAATATTGGGTTTTAACTTACTTTAAATTAACTAACGCCACACACGTCAAACCCAAGGGGCATTAAAACGTACATTTTCGTTAAATAATGCGGATAAGTATGTGACGCTAACTAGCTAGCTGGACGTACTGCACTGTTGTTTATACTTATTTTTAATTAAATTCAGAAGTTTACTAAAGTCATACAGAGATCTTGGCTCTGTTATAGATAAGTTATACTTTATATTACATACATAGACCAAAGTGAAAACATTTAGACCGGTATAGCCTACAGTACGGTGGGATTTATAAAACGCTACCCTGACGTGTAGCTGCTGTTAGCTTTATTTATTTCTCTGACATTTTGCACGTTTATTAAACTTGGGGACAACATTACAACCTTTTTATTCAGCTCATGCTGCTTTGATGTGGGGCTAAAAAAAAAGAAGCCTATTTGAAATATTTCCACCAGATTTGATCATCTTTTATTTAGGTTAAAGTGTATTTAATTTATCCTAATCCCATAATGATAACACAATAAAAAATGGAAAGCAGCCTTTAGCTTGATGTTAGTTTGTCTAGTGCTGTGAAAGGGATGCAGGTGTGACTGTCATTTCATCTCTTTAGTTTTATAAAAACCAAAACAGTACATCATTTTAATTTAAATAATCCTTTAGGGATTGTTTGTCTGTGTTTAATATGATTAATTCACTTTTTTTCTCGTTTTTCTCTGTAATTAGGACAATTCTGGAAAAATGGATCTGCTGGAGAAGGGCCCTTACTCTGTGTGTGCACAGCGATCATCAGGACAGAGCTGCCATCCACCTGGACCCCCGTGGTGCTGGAGAAAGCAGAAGGCGTTCAGGAACATCCTCCACCCAGACCTCTGCTTACTGCACTCCTACAGACGTATGAGTGCAGAACTGTAGAGATCATCACTGCTGCCACTTTAGCCTTACATACTTTTACTTCAAATTAACACATTGTGTGCCTTATAGTGCTTCTCATTTTGCATACACTGTACTTATTACATTGCTGTTAACAGTTTATTTATTTGCAATACTCTCTAGATTTAATCTACAATTTAGATGATATTACTTAATCTAAATTGTGTTTGTTTATATGAATCTATATTTTATCTTGCACTTTTTTTGTGTGTTTCTGTATCTGATCCCGAAACAGCTGCACATATAATCAAAAACAAACGACTCGATAAACACATGTTAGCTGATATTTGTTTTACTGCTGGTGATGTTAAATAACAGGATTGATTTCCTCTGTCTCAATGATGAAAGTTATAATAATAGAAGACATGAAGCTGCAGAGAGAGGATGGATATATTCTTCCCTCCACTTTGTGATTAGATGAAAATACAAAATGTAATTAAAATAGTAATTGTTAAATCACATTGTTTATTTCATTTACTGAGGCTTTAACCATTATTTACAACATGTGTACATAAGCAGTGGAATAATAGGATATCTCTAGGTCATTAAACTGTCTTAAGTTCTGTTTAATTTGATTAATACAAAAAATAGGCCATAGAAAATGTTTAATAGTGTATTTCAGCAGAGCGGGGGGGGGCACGGTGGTGCTGGACCTGGAGGTGCTGACCTGGTGTCAGTGGGACATCATCTGGGCTGGTTTAGGGGAAGAAGGAGAATATAAACTGTTATAATCACAGCCAGGGTTCGAGTTATGTGGGAGCCAATGGGAGCTGAGCTCCCATAAGGAGGTGCCTGAGCTCCCACGGACCCAATGAAATCAAACATCTGTGGGGGTCGCTAATATACATTACCAACAACCATTATTTTGATCACAAATAATGCATTTTTCAATGTAATGAGTATTATTTACGTTAACGAGGTAAATAGGCAAACAAAACAATGTTTTCCAAAAGAACTACGCATCGTATTCTCTCTTGAATGACAATATGCCTGCACTTCACCTCTAAGGTGCGCAATAAAATATTGCGCAATCTATGCCTGTGAGGCTGTGAACGTGCTGCGCGCGCCCGAAGAATGAACCGTTATATCAACATACATTCAAATATATTAGGCTTGTTTGAGACAAGCAAGACCTGCGCAGACCTGCGCAGTTGCGATCAACGTCTTGCTAGTGCGTTGCATGATGGTTAGTCATTTTGTCCGACTTGCTCTGGAGGCCCGCCTACATGAGACTTTGAAATTTCGCGGGACAAAGACGCCCTGAGGGCGAGGCGAGTTGGCGCAGTTGCTCTCCACGGGCTGCAGAAGCGAAATGCTTGATGGGAAACGTCTCGCTGGTATCTCGAGCTGAGCGCTCATTGGTGGTTTTTACCACGTGCTGCTGATGAAACTCTCCAATTGGCTGGCAAAAGTTTGTTGTTGTTTTGTGTCAGTTTTACGTCGCCACATCCATTCCCATTTTTCATCATTGTTCCACATTGTTCCAATGTTTATCATCATGAAATTAATATCTATATATTTTATACTATACTGCTTACCGTTTTCATACTTTATATATCTTAGCATATTCATACACACTGTTCATGCTGCTCACAGGCTGATATCTAGTGTATTCATACCCCTCACTGTTTATTCATCATTCAATTCATTTTTATTCTGTAGGTTGTGTACATTACTTTTCACTTTACTGCTTGTTGCACCTGGTTAGAAGCTAAACTGCATTTCGTTGTCTCAGTACCTGTAATATGTGCAATAACAATAAAGTTGAATCTAATCTTGAGCAGGAACAAATGCATTTACTTAGTACATATCTGACATTAACGAATATACACATTTGTGCATTCTTTATAAATGCAAACTTGTCAAGACCACTGACGGAAGTAGTTTTGAAAAGTAATAAGTGGTTCTGTCTTTTACATGTATTCAACCCCCCTTGTACTGATTTGTTTCAAAATGAACTGACACTTGAGTCATTCATTTGTAGTGATATAATAATTGTGGGATTTCTATTGCATCCACTTCATCTGCAACGAAAAACGCCAACGCAATTTCCGCCATTGCAAACCCAGCCAGTCAAGCCGACTCCGACTCCGAGCTGTCCGACTTAAGACGAGCTTTTTGACACCTCCCCCGGCTGCGATCGGCTACTCTCGTCTACTTTCGAGGCGAGCCGCAATGTGTCTCAAACAAGCCTACTTACAAGATACACACATGCTACCATGCCCGGCGCCGTGGGAGGGCCAGGGATGGCCAGGCCCTCCCATTTGACATTCCTGCCCTCCCCCAATAAACACGATTTTATTATTTATAAAAATTTAAAAAATATTTTAATTTTAATTGTTTTAATTATAAATAAACTGTGAACTTTTATGCTACGATGTATGTGATGTCAGATAGTAGGCTACTAAAACAAAAAATCGCAGGCTACGTCAAATAAATGTGTCTGTTGTGATTCGTCCACATTTAGACCAATCACAGCGTCACACTCTGCCGCCTATTCTGGATTTGTTTATTGTGCATTCTGTAGACTCCCATTTCTGTTTGAATTACAAAATGGACATCAGAAATTGGCTCAAAAGGTCTAAAGATTTATTAAAACGAAATAGCGAGGAAAGAACTGCAGCTGATGGTGCTGCTGGCGACCCTGCACCTGCCGTTGCAGCAGCACGCTTGACCTCGGCAAACCCCGGGGCTGAGTTAGCGAGCCTTGACTCATCAAGGCGGCCGCCACCAACGCTGTCCTCTGAGGCACAGCTCCTTGTTGCCCCTACCATCACCACCTGCGTTGCCACACCCTGCACCACACCCGCCAGCATCCTCCTCCTCCGTGCCGGTGCCTCCACTACAGACGCTACCTCGCAGCACATCAACAGGTACTATTGGGCCAGCAACCGCTCAAAGACCAACAGCCCCAGATGATCTTGGGGTTAATAAACCCAAGCAGGTGAAACTGGATCGTTATCAGGGAGATTGTTTTCAGGAAAGAAGCGCACTTTTGCTGCTGCATGGTACACAACAGACCATGGCTTGAATATTCGTTAAGCAGACGCAGCCTTTTGTTTCCCCTGTAGACAGTTTAAAGTAAATACGTCTTCATCTGATGTGGCTTTTACTGTCAAATGTTTTTGCGACTGGAAACACGCATTACAGACTGATAAAGGACTGCTAAGGCATGCCGCATCAAAAGAACACATTTCATGTGAGAGTTTGTGGAGAGAGAGACAGATATGTGAGGAAACAAATAAGGAAATAAGTACTTTGGTTCAGATCAGCTGGCACGGAGCTGTCATTACGTGTCAGCTGTTGTTGATATTATAGCTTTTTTAGCTGTCAACCAACTCCCTCTCAGAGGTGACCACGGTTCACTCCACAGCATGTCCGAGTGCAGTGCATAGGAAAATAAACCATGCCCAAGGCGGGCTAAACAGTTCATCGTCTCCGTCTCTATTTCTCTCAGAGTGCAGCGATGAGGAAGCTGCCATCCTTAACCAGTGTGCCTTGCTCGTGATTTACCAGTGTTTGTGCTGCCACGCACACAATGTTTCAAAAGTGGTTTCTATGTTTCCCTTTATTTGTGTATGTATTTACGATAAGTGTGCGTCTTTACACGATGCTGTTGGCCTTGCTGTTTGATATATATTGTGCCCGCAGCACGTGACTCGTTTGTGTGCCCTCCCATGAAAATCATATGCCCTCCCTTTAGATTTGTTCTGGCGCCGGGTCTGCATACTACGAGTACCGTAGGCTAGCAGACGAGTACTATGCCGCCCAAAAAAAGGCCACTGCTGCCGACGGGGTCTACAAGCCTGGCTAGTTTTGGTTTTCTCACAAAGAAACAAAAAACAGCTTTTGACAACCAAAATGCACCTGCTAGCGTGACAGCTAGCACTAACCTTGCAGCTACGGAGGATGCTGTCTTTGCTAGCGGACCTGATGCTGTTGAATGTGGGACCACCTGCACACACGAAGAAAGTTCAGAAGCGGAGCGGCATGAGGAGGCAGGAGGTACTGCTACAGAAGGACTGCCACTTAACTGGGGACACAATCGGTGGAGATCCTGGAAAGAAAGAAACACCTGGCTGTTTTCAAATGAGGGTGGTCTTGGATGCCTCGTCTGTAAGGAAGCCAAGACTCTCTTACTTTCGGAGAAAAAATATGGAACGCATTTGGCGGATGCCTGGATCAATGGGACTGTGAGTAGCCCTGTGCAGAAGCAGTTGCGGAATTTTTTTTACATACACCGTGACTCTATTGCTCATAAACGAGCTGTTGAAATAGCGGAGCTCAAACTAAAACAAGTGCTTCCGAAGAAAGTTGCAGAACTCAGCTCCAGCCTGTTTAATGAGACAGCTAGTTCGTTCAGGGCAGCCTATACTGTCGCTAAAGAAAGGTTGCCTTATACAAAATTGAAACCCATTATGCAACTTAATGAGATGAATGGTGCGACAGTCGGCCCTGCTCACAGATCCGATCATTCATGTGCCCAGATTGTGGAGCACATTGCACAAGAGATGAAAAAGAAATGTATTTATAATATCAAATCACTTGATTCCCGTATTAGTCTAACGCTAGACGAAAGCACAATTCATGGACGCGCATACATGATTATTTATGTCAGGTGCGATGTCACTGGGAATGGAGATATGGACAATGTGTATTTTGACATTGTTGAACTGGACCAGGGCACTGATGCAGAGTCGCTGTGTAGCGCACTGAAAAACAGCCTCCAGGCGGGGGGGAATGGATGAAGAGTTTCTTCGTAAAAACCTAATTAGCATAGCCACAGACGGTGCTGCCGTGCTAACCGGGAGACAGAATGGACTCATAGCCAGGCTGAAAAGGATTTCCCTCGTCTTCAGGCAGTTCATTGTCTAGCTCATCGTTTGGAATTAGCGGTGAATGATTCATTGAAGGCTGTGGCAGGCTGTAATCATTTAGAGTTTTTCCTCGCTAAACTCTATTCTCTTTACCACCACTCCACGAAAAACGCCAGGGAGTTAGAGGAAGCGGCTGCGGAACTGAACATGCAGATTCTGAAAATCGGACAAGTCTTTACAATTAGATGGGTTTCCAGCAGTTACAACACTGTCAAAGCTGTGCTGAAGGACTTCCCAGTGTTAGCACATCACTTTAAATCTGCTAGTGAAGATGGCTCACGTTCCGGTGCAGAGAAAGCCAAGTACACTGGTTTACTAAAGCATCTGACATCCACTGGATTCCTCGCTGATTTAGCGACAATGAAAGACGTGTTACGTGAACTACAAAGTCTCTCCCTGAAACTACAGAAACGCGACACGTCCCTGGTTGATGCAAGCCGCTACATATATCAGACGATCGAGGTGCTCTCTGCCATGAAGGACAACGATGGGAAAACTGAACTAAAAGTCAAAGCGGGCATAACAAGCGGCCAGTTCAAAGGGGTTGATATTAGAGAAACTCAACCTAAAGTAAAGAAG